GCGCTGCTTGTGATGCAGCCCAGGAGGTGATGGGTCTACTGGGCTGCAAGCCCCCATTGCCGGCTCATGTCCCTTTTGTTACTCCCTCAGCATCTCCAGGTGCTTCCCCGCAGGGCTGAGGAGGGCTGGGATGGGGCAGGCAGGGAGAGCCTGGCAGAAGGCAGCACGGGGGATTGTGGCCATACCTTGAGCAGGAGGAAGGCATTCCGCCCCTCCGCCATGCTCCTGCCCTGTCCCATCGGTCAGGTGCTCTGAGGACCAGGCTGCTCCCTCCAACACCCATCGCTGGGACAGGCTGTCCCACATTTCCCTGTCCCCGTGCACCTCTGACCCCCCTGCTCCTAGGGACTTCCCTTTTCCCTCAAAACTCAGGGTTTGGGAAATTTCCCATCTCCCGCGATGGCCCTGTCCAGCCTGAGTCATGGCTCAGGGATGTCCTTGCTGCCCCAGTCCAACCAGCCCGGCCAGACTGGTGGCAGTGATGTGGTTTCACATGGCTGCATGGGTCACCGGTGTGGTAATTAGCATCCCCAAGAGCCGCCGGCACATCGGCCTCCTTTCCTAACTCCCCACACGAGCCTACTGCAGCCGCGGCACGGCACAAGCCAACACTCAGAGGTGGTGGTGGGGACCTTTGCCAGCAGCTGCCAAAACCTTTTGCCACCGCTATCGGGTCCCCATCTTCAGTAAAGTGAGACTTTTTGAGTGACAAATGATGCAGCGCAGTAGGTAGGGACCAGGTTCACCAGAAACAAGGGCAGCCCATGAGTACCAGGCAAGGCCCGTCCCTGCCCGGAGGGTCTCTCCAGGAGGGAGCTTGGTCCCTGCAGGTGTCCCCAAGAGAGTGGCACAAGCTCTGGGATGCTGATGTCACCTGTTCTTGCTCTCTTGGGCAGAAGCATCAGGGCTCGCACATTTTTGGTTTGAGATGAGGAGCAGTAGCACTGGTTACCCTGGCAACGCGCGATGCTCTCCTCCAGATGGGGACTACATTTGGGAAGATTTGCTAAAAATACTTCCCAACTCAGCTGTGACACCACCACCCATATCGCATCCCCACTCCCCCCAGGGCCCAAACCAGGTTGGTGCCATCCCTGCTGTTACCCAGCGCTGACCCTGGGCCACTCACCCTGGATGGGTGGAGGTGGACCAGGGCATTCCCGGGGTCCCACCAACCTCCTTGGCTCCAGCAGACCTGGCAGGGGCACCAGCACTGGTCCCTCCCCGGCTCAGCCAGCCCAAGCGGCTGGGGGCAGAACAGGGAGCCGGGGATGGTTGGTGGCATTTACCCACACTAAGGGACAGGGGGGAGCTCCCTGGGAGGGACCTGCAGGCACAGGAGGGCTGCTGGGGAAGGTAATGATTCCTTAGAGTCTAAATAGGTTTAAAAGCTTTTTTTTTTTATGATTTTGGTGCTTTTCCTAATACCATTACAGCCTTCTCCATAGCAACCAGGTGGGGTGGCTCAGACTTTGGTCCCGGCCGAGGAGATTAGCTGCCGGAGCTGAAATGATGGGGGCATCAGCTGGGGAGGTCCGCACTGGCCAGGGCCGTGGTGGGAGGAGGATTTCCATGGTGGGGGACCCAAAATGAGGTCCCTGTGGTGGCTGCAGTGCCACGGTACACCAGGCAGGTGTGAGGTCCCAGTGTGCAGGATGGGGTCATGGTGATGCTGGAGGGACCAACCATGCCGTGGGGTCCAAGCAAACCCTGCTGCAGGTAGGAGGAGATGCCCTCAAGGAGGTTTAAAGGTGGAGACGGGTCTAGCTCCACACCTGCAGTGTGTTGGGAAGGGACTTACTTATTTACCCTCTTTATTTTCCCTTCGCAGCTTGTTTGATATTTTCCCTGAAAGAGGGCTGTTGGAGGCAGGGATAAACCCACTCCCACTCCCAGCCACAGGCAGGGCTAGTTTGAACTTCCCAAAGCAGTTTTGTGGGTTTTGGCCGGCTGGCCCATGCTGGTTCAGCTCTTTTTAGCTTCCACATTGATTACACCTTGTGTCAATATGTGCTTAGTGCCTATTAGCGGGTGCATGTATCTCCATCTCTCGTTTCTCCCTTCTGATCTATAATTTCTCAGAAGAGAGGATTAAAATAGAGGGGGAGGAGAGCACTGCTTGGGGTCAAAAGGAAAGGGAGAAAACAGTGCTTGTGGGAAAGTTGCGTTGCGAGGCTGGAACCTGGTCATCTCTCTCCGACACCTCTTCCCATGGGCACAATCCTGCTTCAGCTGGCAAGAAGGTTGCTTAAAACTGCCTACATGGTGAAGAGCTGAGATGTGCCCTGCGGAGCTGGGTGAGGTGCCAGCCTCCCATGTGGATGGGCAAGGTGGGAATGCCTGTGGGACTGGTGCTGGAGAGCATCCCTGCTCCATCTCCACCTCACAGACCGGCACGGGGGGGAACCAGGGCTGGGAAGAGCAGCACCCATGGGAAGACACCAGTTCCTGGAGAGATGGATGTGAATGGTGCCAGCCCCATCCTGGTGCATCTTCAAGGAGGAACGGGGCTACCAGGACATTGGGAAGGGTTAGCCATAGCTTTTCCATCCAGCAGCCACTGGCCCATAGGGCTCCTCTCACTGGGGCAGAAGTGGCTTTTTATTTATTTTTTCTTTCCTGGAAACTGGTAAAAGATTCTGCAGAAGGTGGACACTGGTGGGGAAATGATCTGGGACACAGAACAAGGTCACCAGCCTTCCCGGGGTGGTTTTGATGAGCTGCCAGGCGGAGAGTGTGATGTGCCAGCCCCAGAGCATCACCTGCCACCGTGTGTGGGGCTGGCAGAGGAGCTGAGAGACCCTCACAGCCGTCACCTCACTGGTGGGACCCAGGCTTTGCTCTCTGCATCCCCTTTGGCCAAAAAGCACTGAGCCAAGCAGTGTGTAGAGCTCCCAGCAAGATATACCCACAGGGGGGTCTGTGGGTTCAGCCCCAAGGCTTCTAGTGCCACATGGAGAAGAGCTTTTTCCCATTTTCCAACTCATTTCCCACTGGCATCACCATAAAACCTCGGATGTTTCAGCCCCTGTCCTGATAAGGGTAATCCCCACGCCTCTAACCCCCTGTGCTATGTGGATGCTGCAAGCCCCAGCATGTGTTTTTGGGGTCCTGATGCAGCGTGAGGACTCGCTGCCAGGGCTCACCCCAGGGCATCGCCATCAGAGCAGGGCAGGCACCCAGGGAAGGCATCCTCTGAGGCTGCCCCATACCCCCCTCCATACTCACTGCCCATGCAAAGACCCGCTCTCGCTCAGAGCAGGGCAGGCACCCAGGGAAGGGTCAGTGCTGCTGCTCAGGACATGGTCGTGGGGCATCCTCTGAGGCTGCCCCATCCACCCCTCCATACTCACTGCCCATGCAAAGCCCAGCTCTCGCAGGACCACCCTCCCCAGGACCCCCATCCCTGCCATAGCCTGTCCTCCTGGCCATCTCATTTCATCCCCCCCTCCTCCCCAAGCTGCCATAAAGGCAGTGACAGACCACAGGGGAGAAGGAAGGAGCCCGGCTCAGGTGATGCTCACCCTGGCTGCACTCTCCCACGGGGGCTCAGCCCATGTCCCATCCCAGCAGTGGTGGGGTTAAGCCTGGCCGGGCGGGCGGCTGGACAGGCGTCAAGGTGGTTGCTCCATCCATCCCTGCGCAGTCCGTGGGGCCGGAGAGCGGAGAGGGAGCACTGCCCTGCCCGCCACCATGACCATAGGCAAAGGTAAGGCAGGGGAATCTGCCCACTCACCCAGCCCAGGAGGGACGAACAGGGCAGAGGGTTGGAGGGGGAGACACTAAAACTATGCTGGAGGTTCGCGCCCATGTCACCCTTAGCTTTTTCACCCCCCTTCCACTGCTAATAAGACATTTTGGGAGCCCCCGTGCTGCCTGGGGTGCTTGCAGGCACCATTGGGCAGAGCCCAAACCTGGATGGGGGTGGCAGAGACAGGCAGGGGCCGCAGCACTGAGACCCCTTGGCTCTGAGGAAGAGCAAGGGGTGGTTGGGGAGGAAGGAGGAGAGGGGACTGGGGGTCTTTCCCCATGAAAGGGAGAAGCTGCTGCTGCTGCAATATAAAGAGATGAATTTTGAGGGTCCACGCACTGGAGGGGTCTGAGCTGTGGGGAGCGATCCCATGCCTTCTCCCAAAGGCAGATCCAGCCCCCAAAATCTCTGGCAGCTGCCCAGTGTGTGCAATGGGCTGGGACCGACCCCTCCACCCACCCTGCAGTGCGGGGGACGGTCGTGGGGGACAGTCGTGCGGATGGGGGACAGTCGTGGGGGACAGTCGTGGGGGACAGTCGTGGGGGACGGCCACCTGGAGCAGTCATGGCCCCACGCTGACAGTGTCCCCCTTCCTCTGCACCCCCCAGCAGGCATCACCCTCCTGCTCCCCCTGGCCCTGCTGCTGGCTACTGCCTCTCAGCCCCCCGGGGGGGACACCCCAAAGGACCAGGGGTACACAGACCCCCCACACTGCCCCAGCCCTTGTGCCTGCAGCTTGGACGACTACAGTGAGGAGCTCAACGTCTTCTGCAGCACCCGCAACCTGACACACCTGCCCGAGGACGTGCCCCCCAACGCCAAAGCCCTTTGGCTGGATGGCAATAACTTCACCCTGCTGCCGGCTGCTGCCTTCAGGAACCTCTCGGCCCTGGACTTTCTAGACCTGCAGAGCAGCCAGCTGGCCGCTGTGGAGCAGCACGCCTTCCACGGGCTGCGGAGCCTCTACCACCTCCACCTCGAACGCAACCGCCTCAAGCACTTGGCTCCCCACACCTTCCTGCACACCCAGAACCTCGTCTCCCTCAGCCTCAACAACAACTACTTCAGTAAGGTGGAGGAAGGGCTGTTCGCTGGGCTCTCCAACCTCTGGTATCTGAACCTGGGCTGGAACTCACTTGTGGTCCTGCCTGACAAGGTCTTCCATGATTTGCCCAACTTGAGGGAGCTGATCCTGGCCGGGAACAAGCTCCCCTACCTCCAGCACCAGCTCTTCTGCAGCCTTACCGAGCTGAAGGAGCTGGACCTGAGCGGCAACGCACTCAAGGGCATCAAGATCAACATCTTTGTCAAGTTGCAGAAGCTACAGAAGCTGTACCTGAATCACAACCAGATCAATGCCATCGCGCCCCGTGCCTTCATGGGCATGAAGTCCCTTCGGTGGCTGGATCTCTCCCACAACCGGCTTGTCTCGCTGTTTGAGGACACATTTCTGGGCCTCCTGAGCCTGCACGTCCTACGCTTGTCCACCAACTCCATCACCAGCCTGATGCCCAGGACTTTCAAAGACCTCCAGTTCCTGGAAGAGCTGCAGCTGGGGCACAACAGGATCCGGAGCCTGGCAGAAAGGACTTTTGATGGGCTGGGCCAGCTGGAGGTCCTCAGCCTCAACAACAACCAGCTACAAGACATCAAGGTTGGGGCATTCCATGTACAACATGGCAGTGATGCACTTGTCTGCAAACTGCATCAAGGTCCTCCCTGACTATGTCTTCAAGGGAGTCACCAAGTTGCACAGCCTCCACCTGGAGCACAGCTGCCTTGGCAGGATCCAGGCGAACACCTTCTCCAGCCTCTCCAGCGCGGCGGCTCTTCTTGCAGCACAACGCCATCTCCATCATCGAAGACCAAAGCTTCAGCGAACTGCATGAGCTCCTGGAGCTTGACCTGAAGCACAACAGGCTGAGCCACCTCTCGCCTCAGCTCTTCATGGGTCTGAGCAACCTGGAGTACCTCTTCCTCTCCTCCAACCAGCTCCTGGAGATCTCCCAGGAGACCTTCAGCCCACTCCAGAGACTCTTCTGGCTCGACCTCTCCCATAACCGGCTGGAGACATTGGACAACACCGTCATCTCCCCCCTGGCCAACCTGCGGTACCTCAGCCTGAGGAATAACTCACTGGAGACCTTCTCGGTGGGCTTCCTGTGCCCCTCCTTTGCCCTGGAGCGGCTGTGGCTGGGGGGGCA